AAAAATTAAAATCACAATGAGATACCATCTCACACTTCCACAAGATTAGCAAACATTTTTTAATTGGTTAATATTAAGTTTGGACTAGGATGTATGAAGTTGGAAGTATACATTAGAATGATCATTTTGGAAAACAGTTTGTCATTACCTGATAACTTAAATACGTGTAGAATCTACCACCTAACTAAGCGATCCCTAGGTTTAAACTCTAGAGAAATTCTTGCACATGGACACCAGGAGGAGTTATGAAAAGAATGTCCATAGTGGTATTGTTTGCAATAGCAAAAAAAAAAAAAAAATCTCTATAGTCTGTAGTCTATAAACATTCATCAGCAGATTAGATATATAAATCATTATATATTCATATAACACTATAAAACATGACATTTTTATGAAATGAATAGAATATGGTACTCATAAATGAGAATGAATCACAAAATATTATTTTGAACAAAAGAAAAAATCATAGAAGAGTAAACAACACGATTCAATTTGCAAAAGTTCAAAATGGGCAAAACTATACATACACATATATGTATAATACATATATGTGAATATATCTACATATGTATTCATATGTAAGATATGCACATATTCAGTCAAATGATAAAAAGAAACAAGGACACAATTAACAGATAGAAGCTATGTCTGACAGGGAAGAAGGGAGCAAAATCAGAAAGGAAAACATCGTGAAGCTCTCAGGTTACTACCATGTCTTCCTTCTTGTTCTGGCGGCTGGTACACACTAGTTCCTTTGGTCATCACTTAAACTAAGCAGGTGCATTTTATACATTTTTATAAATATCATCTATCTCAGTAAAATTATATAAAGAAGTCTGTATATATATTTATATTAGAGAGAAACATGAATAAGCAAGGGATACTACTGACGCCTCAAGGAGCTCTAGGCTACACCAAACGCATCTCACTGTACAAACTACTGCCAAGTACATCCGCCTCCAAGCCCGACAGTGGACTCATCTTTGAACACTTTACACTAGTGATTGTGGTTGTTAGAATTTTATTTCCAGGTAGCCACTACGGCCATCTTTGTCCCCTATGTTACTATGAAAACAAACAAGCAAAAAGCTACCCTAGAATGGGACAGCCATTTTTGCCAACAGGTCTAGGAGGAAGGACAGAAGAGGGATGCCTGCTTCAAGATGTTACAGGGGGAATCAAGCAGATTGCTCACACTTTCAAAACACGCAATGAGTGCCTTTTCCCGCAGAAGTGAACAGACATTAGTTGGAAGATGACCTTCCGTTGGTACTCTGGCCCAGGCCACAGCAGCAAGGCCAGCACTCTGAGGGGCCATAAAGCAGCAGGCTAGGATGACAGAACCAAAGATGAGCCTCCGGAGCCAGGGAAGCAGGCTGGGCACAGGAGACAGCTCCAGGAGCAATTTAAATGATGAAGTGATAGGCCCTAAATGTGGAGGAAACGCAGAGGACAAGGCAATCAATCACTGCCAAGCTTATCTTCTGACAAGGAGTAGGACTCCAGCTTCCAGATGTAACATTAAAATGTAATGTTTCCACTGGGGTTTAGCATGGCAGGTTTCCCTGAAGCTTCAGTTTCACTCAGTTAACTAATTATGAGAAAATGTGACATTGGCATTTACTTTTTCTACAGGGACAAATCATTCCCAGCAGGAGGGAGAAATTGTTATTTTTGTTCTGTTTTGTTTTGTCATTAAAAAGAAATTACTTACACAGTAGTAAATAAACTCTTGTTAGATGGGAAAAAATACATTTTTTTCCCTCCATAATTCTATCAGTTCTCCTTGATGCTAAAAATCATTTCTTTGGTTTTCCAGAGACATGATGGATAAAAGGGCAATTGTTTGGGTGCTAGAACTGGGTTTGAAAAATCAACTCTCCCATTTACTAGCTTTGTGACCTTAAGCAAGTTATTTAAGCACTTGGAGCTTCCTTTTCCAGTTGTAAAACTGGGGGTGATACATCTGCTATAGATGTTAAAGATGAAAGGAGATAATGTCATTAAAGCACTTAAGTACAGTGTCTCTGCATAATAAGCACTCAATACATTTTAGCCTTCGTTCTTCATGACCCTGATATGCAATTATATAAATATAGAAACAATTTACATGTCATTTGAGCCTTGAGTTGCCAATTCTATATAACCACATATCTAATCATGAACTCAGACTTTGTTTTGGCATTGCAAGCTAACTTGTGTATTATACATTTTACTCCTCCTTACCTTGATATGAAAAAAATGGGTTCCAGTGAAAATGTAATATTTAATGATAATGTTGAAAGAAACATTTATTCCCCCTTCCCATCTTTAACTTTTCTAGGGCAGTACCCAATGAGCAAACACCACTGGTAAATCTGTGCTTCTTCTTCCACTGCTGGGATGTTAGAAAATATTAATGTTATGTTTGGGGTGCTTTTAACAAGTTAGAAAGTGATTCCACAAGTGATTTTCCACTTGAACTCACAAAATCTCATGAGGTACGCAGAGTAGATATGATTAAGTCCATTTTACAGATAAAGAAAACAAAACAGAAACAAGACAGGGCAAATGACAAAGCCAAAGAATGTCTGCAGGAATGAAAAATGCCAGGGTTATTGGACTTTGCAAAATTAAATTTTTCCAAGAATGAATTCTGTTTTGGATATAGCCCAATGTGACCAGTTATCATAGAAGAAAGTAAGATTCATTAGTGGAAAGCAAACACAATAGAAAATCAAGAGGCATTAAGGTTTTATATTCCAATTTCACAATCCATTTGTCCAATGTACCCCAAATTTTCTACCAATAAATTTGAGAAAGAAAAAATGCTACCTCTTACCTCTCTTACAAGTATACTGCAATGTCAGTCATTACCATGTATAAATGCTATGTAAGATTGATGATATGACATTCAGGGGGTTTTATGCTAGCCATAGTACATATTAACTCTTAAAAATGTGCAAACATAAGGAAATATACTTTGAATGCTAGATAGAAAATCTTGCTAAGAAAAATATAAGAATATTTTTACAAGGACGTATGAGCTAGAAGATGGTAAATAATTAGACAAGATTACAAAAATTGGCATATAATTTTGCATTAATGTATTTGAACTATTTTTAAGTTGCAAAAGCAAACTAAGAAGCATAGACATGTAATATTTTTTAAAGACATAGAAATACAAAACCCTTCTAATTTGGATAATGTTTCTTGAATTTATCATATATAATGGTTTTTAAATTAATCAATTCTGAAGTGCTTTTAATACTGAGCAAGTCTTCCTGGCAGTGGTCACCTTGCAGGACTTCAAAGGTCCCTTAATTATGTTCACTGAAGTCTCATAACCCCTGAAGAAGTTCTACTGGACTACAGAATTACAATTCAGAAGTCCTTTTTTTCTTGAATGGAAAAGTTCTTACAGACAGGACAGCAAAAGCAACCAAAGTTTATTAAAAGGAATCCTAGTTCGAATAAAAACCAAATAAGTTTCTAGTTTATCATTTGAACATGGAAACTATAAATTTACAATCAAATATGCAATCAAAAGTCTAGTCATACCAACAATAATCAGCAAAATAGCATATAATAAGGGGTTACCATTAGGTGGTAGATTGCCTAATTCTGACTTAATAAGCCTGAACATAATTTTCCCTATGATTCTTCAAAGAAAATGATACGACTTCATTCCAGTATTGAGATAAAATTCATGATGTGGCAGCAGAAAAGGCCTACCTACAACTCCCTCCCCATTTCCTTAATTCATTTATTTAATAATCATTTTTGAATGTTTGCTATTTGTTAGAAATTATGTCAAAGAACTCACAGTCAAGCAGGGAAAACACGTAAATAAAGCGTCAAATTTGTGTGTTAAGCCCTAGTATGTAGAAAAATCTTTAGCACAACAATAAGTGGGATCAGAAAGCTCTCACAGAGGATGAGGGGAGGTAAGTAGAAACAATCTATATGGCGAAAGGAGTAGCCTCCTGCCAGAGAGAACAATACAGATAAAAGCATATGGATAAAAAAATCACAACAGACATGGCGAGTTCCAGAATTTAGATGTAGTGTCGCATGGCTAGAGCATAAGTCATGGGTAGGAGAAGGGAAAAGACAGCAAATGAAACAATAAGCCCTAGAGGAAGACAAAGACTCCATCATTTAAAGCTCAGTAGTCCATGTTAAAATACAATATTGGAAAGCTGGACACAGTTATTGATCTGTTGGAAAGATTTCATCCTAGAGGCAGGGGGTATAGATTTTTACTACAGAATAATCTGTAGTGGTAGCGCAGTATGTAGTGAACTAGGGGAAGAAAATCTAGCTATGGATTCCAGTTATGAGACAATTTTGAAGGCGTAAGTAAGACACAAAAGACCATAAAGTGAAGCCCCATATAGCATATTTGTGAAACAAAACTATATAGCATAATTGACCCATTATAGCTACTTACTAACCATTTTTGAAGGACTGACTGAACAACTCCAACTCCAATGATGGAACAAAATTAGACATTTTATCCTTTGACTGAAATAGCTGTCTCTCAAAATGCAAATAATGCACCTCAACTGAGTAACAGCTCCTACCACTTACTAACTAGCTTCATTTCGGACTTAGAATATTCTTTGCAAATGAGTGATCAGGGCATGGTCTCAATGTCTAGTCTGGAAGAGACTTTGGGAATATTTACTATAAATTCCCATTTTAGAGATGAAAATCTGGTTCAGAGAAGTTACATGACCAGCCTGAAGTCACAAAAAGTTACCTGTGATGGGACAGAAATCAGGCAAAATACATGAAGCGTCACAATATTTGTCAATTAAAATGGTTATCAAATTTAAAACTAACACAGATATCAAATTTAGCTAGGGTGATTAAACCTTTTAAAAGTGCTTGACACCTCACACTCAAAAAATACAAGGCCAACATCTTAGAGACATTTTCTTAAATAATTCTTTGCTCTGATAGTGAAATGCAAGGATCAGGCCTCCTGAATTAGTATAAATAAGACAGATTCTTACCATGATCTTCTGAAGAGACTGGTGACCTAAAAGAAGACAATAAGCATGATAAATATTTTGTGTGTGACAATTATAACAATGATCAAGAATAATTTCCCAGAAATCATAACCCCAAAATTCAATTAAATGAAAACTCAATATAGTAGACAGCATAATTAATGTGTTGGTTACACTGTAGATTCCAATTAGCAGCCCCAAATCTTACCTGGATTGGCTGGGTGCTACAGGTAACTAAAATGTCAGTCCCTGCATGGTGTTGCAGGGCTGAAACAAACTTAGATAAGTCTGGATTTATCAACAAATTAGATGAAATCCCGTGATGGTGTCTAAGGCCAGGTCTCCAGAGGAAATGCCAGGGATATAAATAAACACTAGATTGAGTGTGTGTAGGTAGAAAGAGATCTACATGGACAGAATACATTGAGACAGAAGTAAAAGAAATGACACGCAACATTATCATAGACTGATTTTTGTCTCCACCCTTCATGGAGTTTGATGCTTGAGCAAGTAAGACACAGACCCTGTAGGTGCTGGCCTTATGTCTCCAAACCCCTGAGAATCGGGATGAGACAAGAGGGCAATGGTTGGGGTCAAACAGAACTTTCATAAACCAATAACTTTTGCATATCATTTGTGGGTTCAGCTCTAATTATGACAGTAATTAGTAATTTCAAGTGAAAAATCACATCAACCATAAAAACCTCTTTTCCCCTCTGTTGACTATGAATGGAAATAAGCTGAGCAATACAGATACAACCTTGGAGATGAATTCACCTCCCCTGCTTGGAAGATTACAGTTTTGATTCTCGGCCTATTCTTTTCTGAGGAGAACAAGAGACACGTGGTACTGTATTTAGAGTTGTTGGAATTTTGAAGGGAAAGGCATGAAATCATGTACTTCCCCCAGCAGGGAGGAGTGCTCTTCTCTGAATGTTTGGCCCACTGGGGTCTGTAGCAGGGAGATGACCAAAGATCAATGCAGGAGTTTGGCAATAAAACCACCTGCTAATAAAACTAATATTTATGAGACATGATGACAAATGTTGGGAAACAATCATCCAATGGATGCACAAGCGATTAAAGAAAGATTTTAGCTGCTTTGGGCTGTTTGATATTGTTTTACTTTACTGATTAGCAATATTATTGCTTATTATGTAAGTGAACAGTAAAGTAGAAAGACACAATAGTAACAGAGAGCAAGCCTTGAACCTCCACTAGTGGCAAAGTGTCAAACCATTTCAACTGTACAAGTCTCTTCAAGTAGACTTTTGCATAAAAACAACAGAGAATCCCAAGTTTTGTTGGAAAGAAAATTGGCATCCAGGAGACAGACTTTGGGAGCAATGACTGGAAACCCACCACAATCACTAAGTCATCACTGCCTGAAAAACCCCACTTGGCCTCCCCAGGTGGAGCTGATTATTTGTCCCTTGAAGTTCCTTTATTTGGTACTGTTCCACATACCACTCTTTTCCACTAGATTGTAACCCCCTTGAAAACTGAGACTATATCTTATTTGGAACATGTCAGCCCATCATTAAAATTTGTGGAATTAATTTCAGCACCACCACACTGGTATTCACACTAAGAAACATCCTGAAGCTCCCAGGAAGTCATCATGCTACTGTCAAGCTACCTGCAAGACAAGTTTGCCTGATCCTAGACCAGCTATGAGGAAGGGGGCTAGGGAATGAGTCCCAAACTCTGGATTGGTTACCATGTAAGCACTCTTGGCGCCAAAGAACATCCAAAGCACCCAGAAACAGAGATGCTCATAATCTGCCCTAATGATTAGGAAAAATAAAAGGTGGCAGGTGCTGAACAGGAAGTGAAACAGGCAAGGAAGATGACTCTAAAGAGAAACATATATTTGAAATAAGATGAGCTAATTTCTTAAGCTGCCTAGGACATTAAAAAACTCAGCAACAAGGAACATCTTCCCTCCTGGTGGTCTCTGTTTGAGAAGCAAGCAAAAATACATCTTAGATTGTTTGCAATTAACTTCTCACAAAGCTATAGGAACACAGAAAAATTCATGCCAATGGACAACTAAACTCTGAGATGGAGAGTTTATGCAGCCAGATCTTTGCTGCCTTTCTGCAAAAGCAAAGCACTGATATTAAATCTGAAACGTTCCAGATGGCTCCATCAGAGTCCCAATGGGATGTGTTCTGTAGTATGTCCAGGCAGAGGGGAAGGACTATTGATTTCAGAGTGTTTTGTGAAAATTAGTCATGTTGAGTTTCAGTGCTGAATGTCTCCCACATGCCTGGATCTGTGGAATTTTAAGACATATGGAGTATTTCAATCCTTACCCAGTATTTCACCTTTCACTGCAATGAGTCACCACACTACACTACTGAGACATGCACATCATCCATTATTGCTGGGAATGGGCATAAAAAGTTAGCTCAAGAGAGAAGAAATATCCTGAAATCAGCAATATAAGTAGTTATTTTAAAAACAGAGGTTGACTCCCAGGAAAAGATAATCTTCCTCAGCCTGACAGCTGAGGCATGCAGGAATGCACTCTGCTCATACTTCACACCACACCTGAGAGACATGTGGTTTTGTCCCAGACAGTTTATTTTTCTTCCATGTATACATTATCTTGGAGCTAGCATTTGCCCTCACAATGTAAACTATTCCTAGCATTCAAATAACTCCATGACCCACAGTTTCCCTCTTCACCCTTCCCTGATCACTAGTCCTTTATTATGATCTACAGAATATTTATATTTATTTTGCTGTTTTATTTATTTTGTATTTTTTACATTTTTATTTCATCTAAATTCAGCAAAGTAAAAAAAAAAAAAAAAACTTCAAGCCTAGCATTTAAAAATATTTCTCCTATTTTATTAAGCTTAAACATTTGTTATTTAGGTTTCAATCATTTAATTCATGTTGATTCAATTTATTACTTAAGATTCTATTAAGTCCCAGGCCCTGTGCCACATGATGAAGACACACAGAACACTTTGAAGGAACCCATCATCTAGTGAAGAAAATATGTAAAAAAAAAAAATGATTATGATATAGTATAAAAAATATAGTGATCAAAATATAGATGAAATAAAAGGATAGCATAAAGAGAGGGATCAATTCTATTCCAAAAGAGTGAAAGGCGGCTTCAAAAGCCAAGAATCATCTAAGCTGAGCTTTGAAAAATAAATAGGAGCTTATTAGGTAAGTTAGAAAGGAGAAGAATTCCAGGCAGAAGCAATAGGAATATGAAAAGGAGCACAGATATGAATTTTCATAGTGTGTTATCAGATATTTGCATAACTCAGCATTGCTAAAATGTGAAGGGGCAACAAAGCAAAAACCAGAGGAGAGGCAGGGCCATTGCACACAGGGCCTGTGGGGCCAGTGTGAAGTGCCTATAATTTACCTGCCAGGCTAAATGGAGCAAGCTTGTGAGGCAGAGAAGTCACACACTCTGATTCGTGGTTTTGAACGAGCAGGCTGTGGAGAGTGAACCATAAAAGAACAAGAAGACAAGTTAAAAAGCAGAGGTCAAGTTAAAGACCATAGCTACAACCCTTCCATGTTAATAAGGCAGAAGAAAAATTTCTCTGCTCTTCAGTTGTTTTTGAAACCCATGGAAAATAACAGAGAAGATGAGAAACAGTAAAGGAAATACTATCTTTGACTCAACCAGACACTTATAAACCTAAACCATCATATATGAAGAAGAATTACCATACAGTAAAAATGGGACCAAGTTTCAGGGAAAGACAGAGTTTCAACACAGTCAGCTAAACAGACATGAGCTGTATCACACACCACAAAACCTGTGGCAGAAAGCCCTCCGCTGTGAGCCAGCGAGTCCTGCTAGCCAGTAGAATCAAATCCCACAAGACAGTGCTGCTAGAAAAGAGTTTGAATACAACAGACACAAAGTCCAACTTCCAGCAGCATACCAATTCATTCACTCCAATTATCTATCCCAAACTAGACGTTCCAAGAGAAACTCATCTACTGCAAATATTGCAAGTAATAATCAAGAAGGAACCAGTGTGATATCTATGCACAAATACCACAAGAAGAAAACAAAACATAGGCACAGAACATAAAAAAAGATGATGGCATGAAGCAAGTAAAAACTATTAATAAATCTCCATGAAATTTAGAGATGGAAGAAGGGCAGAAAAAGAGAGAAAAAAGAGAAGGAGATAGAGCCTTTGTGAAGCATAAACTTAAAGAGAAGAAACAGTGATCAAGAAATAATTATAAGACTACAAGAGGTGAAAAGGGCAAAGGTTTTCCTAGAGCCTTTGAACTAGCTAAGTTATAGAAAAATTTTGAGGGCTTTTCCTACTGTGTCACCACTGTACTGGGAAATAAAGATTAAGAGGAGATGAATAATAATTAAAAATATATTAAGATATAAAACATTGATAGAAGAAATTAAAGAAGATACAAATAAATGGAAAGATATATGATGCTCATAAATTAAAAGAATTTCTATTGTTAAATTGTTCATACTATGTGAAGCAATCTACAGATCCAATATAATTCCTAAAAATACCAATGACATTCTTCACAGAAATAGAAAAAAAAATCCTAAAATTTGTATGGAACCACAAAAAACCTTGAATATAGCTAAAGCAATCTTTTTTATTTTGGCATATTATGGGGGTACAGATTTTAAGATTTCAATAATTGCCCATTCCCCCCCTCCCCCTACAAGCCTGAGTTTCCAGCATGACCATCCCCCAAATGGTACACATCTCACTCATTATGTATGTATATACCCGCCCCCCCTCCCCCCTCCCACGCACCCAATACCCTATTACTGTAGTACCTATGTGTCCACTTAGGTGCTGCTCAGTTAATACCAGTTTGCTGGTGAGTATATGTGGTGCTTGTTTTTTCCATTCTTGGGATACTTCACTTAGTAGTATGGGTTCCAGCTCTAACCAGGAAAATATAAGATGTGCTATGTCACCATTGAGCTAAAGCAATCTTGAACAAAAACAACAAAACTGGAGGCATCACACTATCTGACTTCAAAATATACTAC